CAAGTTGTTCATCAAACAAGCATTTAACGGCCAATTTAGAAGTATCGTAGTTGGTAGTAACACCACCTGTGGCGCACATAGTCAATTCCCTTGCGTTTGACGTTTACACACTACCACCATCTGTTCAGTGTAGTGCCCACCACAGTGTTCTCAACAGATGGCGGTAATGTTTTAGCGACGATGTTCTACAGTGAGAAATATTCAATGTGTTATGTCTGTTTGTCTGTGCTATAACCTTAGTTTGGGTCCCATCACATTGCTCAATTCCGGGTAATGAGAAAGCGGACTCGCTAGCTAAGGTGGGCGCTATGGAAGGCGATATTTTTTATCGAGAAATCGTCTTTGCGGAATTTTTTTCAATTACCCGTCAGCTCGTCCTCACCAACTCGCAACAAAATTGGAATGAGAGTGATCTGGGAAGATGGTTTATTCTCCCACAGGTATCGAACAAGCCATGGTTCAAAGGATTGGACATGAGCCGTGACTTTATACGTGTCATGTCAAGGCTCATGTCCAATCACTACTCGTTAGACTCGCATTTCTTCCGAATCGGGCTCGCAGGCAGCAATTTGTGCGCTTGTGGTAGTGGCTATCACGATATCGACCACGTGCTTTGGTCATGCACCCTACATTGTGTTGCTAGATCCGAGTTATCCGCATCCCTCAGGGCCCGAGGAAAACAACCTATGCGCCCGTTAGAGACATCTTGGCGAGCCGAGATCTCGATGATTTTAATTTAATTTATGTGTTTTTAAAACGGATAGATCTGAGGATTTAGTAGTTAGTGACATCTTGTGCTCTCTCAAGTTGCTAGGTCTCCATCGGTGTACCCCCATGTTTGTCTTTTTCTCCAGTATGTCGCTTAGCTCTAGATTAAGAGCACATTGCTCGAAAAAAAACCTTGTGTTCTCAATCCCTACCCAACGGCGCCGGTGCTGTAGTGGTAAGCGTGATTACCTCTCACCCCAGCAGGCTTGGGTTCAATCCCAGTTGGCGCCGCCGGGATGTTCCGAGGCATAACATCTCTGATCACGCCTTCCTTCGGATGGGAAGTAAAGCTGTTGGTCCCCGGTTCATGAGTTGATGGGTCGATAGGTAGGGTCTAGGTGTGGGAGCTGCCTTCCTGGCACGTCGGTAGTATTGGTGCTCAGCACGGAAAACAAGATCGGAAAAAAACAAACCAAAGGAAAAAAAAATCCCTACCCGCCATCCGTTTGTTTCAATTTGTTACCCCTAACCTCGAGATAGCCGCGAGTAAAGGGCGAACACGAAATTATTGCGACACATTCAACAGGGCATAACTTTTTTACCATTGGGTAAAAATCAACCAAATTTTGCACACTTTCTCATTGATGTGTATTGTGTACATGCTGTCAAACTCGAAGTCGTGTTTTTCGATTCAACGAAAATGGAGGTGAACCAACGCGAGTTGAGAGAACAAATTCTTTCCAAACGCCTGGAATTTCCTGACCTGTCGCACCGGCAGTTGGGAAAAATGTTGAACATTCACCATTCAACCGTCTCCAGAGTGTTGAAGCGGTTCCAGGAGCGGTTGACGTTGGACCACGGCAAAGGAGCTGGAAGAAAACCGGGACCGGAGAACAAAAAGACGGAGGGAAAGGTGAAGCGGATGATTAAAGCAAATCCCAACGTCTCAAGCCGTGATTTGGCTAAAAAGATCGGCATGTCGCAGAGCTACGTCCAGAATGCAAAGAAGAGAGCTGGACTACATACATACAAGGTACAGAACTTCCCAAACCGCGATGAGCGGCAACAATCGACGGCTAAAACTCGGGCACGGAAGCTCTACGAGAAGATGCTGACAAAATATGGCTGCTGTGTGATGGACGACGAAACGTATATAAGCAAATTCCGGGGTTGGAGTTTTTCACTGGCAAGAGCAAGTTCGATGTGGACGACAAATTTAAGAAGAAGAAAATGTCGAAGTTCGCCTCCAAATATCTCATTTGGCAGGCCATCTGCTCTTGCGGACTGAGGAGTGAGTCTTTCGTGACAAAGGGCACAGTAAATGGCGAGATCTACAAATCTGAGTGCCTCGAGAAGCGCCTTTTGCCGTTCTTGCAGCAGCACGACGAAGCTCCGCTATTTTGGCCAGATTTGGCATCATGCCACTATTCTAAAAGTGTCCTGGAGTGGTATGAGGCCAATTCTGTCCATTTTGTTCCAAAGGACATGAATCCGCCAAACTGTCCGGAGCTGCGTCCGGTGGAGCAGTATTGGGCAATAATGAAGCGGGAACTTCGGAAGAGCAAAAAGACAGTCAAAGACGAGAAGGACATGTTAAGAAAATGGAAAAAAAACTGAGAAACTGGTACCGGATGACACTGTAAAGACTTTGATGGAGGTCATCAAGCGAAAATGCGTTCAATTTTACACTCAAGGCTCCATCGATTAACTTTTATTTTGATTTTTGAAGTAAATATATGTATAAAACTACCCTAAAATTTTGGTTTGATTCTAAACATTATAAGAAAATTGGCATGACATTTTCGGTGTCGCAATAATTTCGTGTTCGCCCTTTAATCGGCCCCCGCTTTACTAACGTTAGTTTTAAGTAATTTTGTAACGATGAATATCGGCTCCGCAAAGCTACGGTAAATGAGCCTGGAAAAATAAACGCATTAAAAAAAATCACTTCACCTCTCTAATTTCCAAGGAAAGGATCCAGGGTTATTTTTTTAACTAGATCAGTTAATTCACTGTCGTGAGTGATGTGATGGAAGATTACGATTTAAATTAGTTAGGTGAAGAACTTGGTAATGTTGAGCTTGGGATTGAACTCACGACGTTCAACTTGGAAAGCGAAAACGCTAACCGCTATTATGCTGATTTTGTCATGTTGTTGGGCTGAACCAGTGTTCTAGAATAATGAATTTAATATGTCGGTTTTAAAGCTTTTACAAAACATGCGACTACGACGTGGACGCAAAGTGGTATAAGAGCTATTATGCTGACTGCATTCACCTTTAAACAGCAGTATTATAAAGCAATGCAATAAAATCTACCAATGGAGCTAGAAAACATTTGTTAGACGTCTAATAAAGCATGTTATTAAATCAATTGAAAAGCGTTGATTAATGTGCAAATAATTAATTTATTAGATCAAACTTCTGGTGTTGAACCGGGAAAGCAGCCAACGTTTATAAAGTTTTTTTTTTATAAAAAAATTAATCAGATCATATCAAACAGCGGAACAAAGGTGTATCTATCGATCTCAATAAGTTTTTACAGCATATAATTCGTTTATTTGTGACTCTGAATTGTTCGTTGGGACCGTAGAAAAGTATGACTGACCTCCTGACACCAGACATTTGTAAGGACTGTATCGAAAATAAATTATAAACAAAATGTTCCTACCAAATCCGTAAAAATATATGATTTAATAAAAAAAAATCATCAATTATGTGTGTCATGTCCTGTTTTAAAACTTAACAAAGTAAAAAAGTTATCTATGCAATCCATCACGACAGATGAAGGTTGTAATAGAGCGAGATGCTTCATCCAGTTAAATTTATATATTAGCTTTTTAAAATATTTTATTTGATAAATTGACATATTAACAATTACAATCAATGTATTCCAATATTGCTGATTTACCTGGTGAAAGTCTTTAATATCAAGATGACTGAAAAAGTTGGACGGTGCCAGAAACTCTCGAAGGTAGGCATCATGTCATGTTCTATCATGACGGTATGATTAGCACGTCGCATATCTACACACAGACCTAATTGTTTTTGATAATGGCTACCATGATAATGGTGAAACCCATGGTGTTGCTCCTGACACAGGTTTGATGATGTCAGCAACCAGAAATTGATCTAACTTTTCTTTGATCACTGAGGAGTGCGATTGGAGGACGTCTGACTCGTTGAGCATAGGGAGGCACGTCATTGTTCATTGGGGTTCTCAGCTACACGTTTTTCATTTTCGAAAAAGGCCTTTCTCCTACGGGCAATCTTCAACAGCGATCACAGATTCAAAAACATGATACACAACCAACAGACTTGCATCTCTACCATAGGGCCCATGCATTAATTATGTCACGTTAAATCGAGGAAAAATAAACCCCCCTCCCCCCTATCGTCACGTTTTTACTATACCTAATTCATTGCTTGTCACATAATCTGAGACCCCCCCCATCCTTAGAGCGTTACATAATATATGCATCAAACCTCACCTCGCAAACCTGTATTCGGAACGTTGCTTGGATGCCAGCTCTTGCTTCGCCTAGTGCCTAGTTATTACTGCTGCCTGAATTTGCCAACATTTGGATCAGGAAATTTCCAGCGTCGACCCAAAGAAATTCATCGCCGCCACCAATGTTACAAATAAAACTCTGTTAATCAGCATGATCTTGCATCTCAGTTGACATAATCGCTTATACGTTGTCCAGTTTCGCCTTCTTGCCGTAGGTTGATGAGGTTTGCCATATTTCGTTTCGTTGCAGAATGGTAAACGCGTGCAAAGTGACCAAACTTCCCCTACCCGATGCTTATGTTGGTTTGCGTGTCATGTATTCCTTGAAATCGTCGAGAGAAGCTATTGTTTACAAAAGTTGTTAGGCCCTTTTTCCAGCTCTGTATTGAACTGATTTGTTAACCCACCATTTAACAGAGGTAGATAGGTAGGTACTAATTACTGCGCCTGAAAAATCATCAGCTATGAATCACCACGCGTTACATCATAAGACATTTTCTTTGCACCTGCCTGATGGAGACGCATGTTCTTCCACGAGCTATCTGCCTGTCGTTCACTGCCTCATATGAACCTCACTCACAAGAATTACATGCGTTCGATGTAAACAATGAAAATAAAATCAAACCCCGCCATTTCGCAGACACACATTAAATGAACATTCTAGACACCAAGCGCCAGATGAACCAGCGGTGGCAGTGACGATTTATTTCCCCCTTGGCATAATACTTTTGCTGCCTATTTTAAGCTCGACCACCACCGAAGTCGCCGATTAGTCCGCAGAGAAACGTTGAACAGATCAGATCGCAATTTTGAATATTTTAAAGACACCATTCAAAAGCGAATTTTTTTTATCCACTCCTTTGTTGTAGAAAAGTGTGAAAAATCCGGGGAGAAGTTACTTGAAAGAGCAATTAACAAAGGTAATATTCGGTTCGATCTCCAGATGGAAGAAACTGCTTGTTGCATGAAGATTTTACGAATCATTTGGTGTATGAAGAGCGAGGAATTTCCCGGCAATAAAACGTGATTTTCATTGCGAGAAAATTGTTCTGAGTCTTTCCGTAGCCAAGCACGTGATCTAAAAATATGCAAGCAGTGTGATTGCCAAGTGGGTGTAGTGCTAAAAATAAGAAGCTAAATCATTGTAACCTTTCCTATTCTGTCTCGTTCAGACATCAGATAGATATGGCCAAGATTCCAGCGGTTGGTATTGACCTGGGCACGACGTACTCCTGCGTTGGTGTGTTCCAGCATGGCAAGGTGGATATTATTGCCAACGATCAGGGTAACCGAACCACGCCGTCCTATGTGGCCTTCACCGATACCGAGCGTTTGATCGGCGATGCCGCCAAGAACCAAGTGGCCATGAACCCGAATAATACTATTTTTGGTGAGTACAGTATGGTGGCTATGGTATGGGGCTAGTCGATAAGTGGAATTATTATGTTTCGTCAAACGTGGTATTTGGTTTTCGGTTTGACGTTGGTTGGATATGAAAAAAGCTTAATTTGGTAATCTGATCCTTCTTACATATTTCAATTCCGACGATGGGGCTTTAAACAATTTTCAAGGTCAATATTTAGACCATATTAGCCATGATGCACATTGTGGCAGTACGGGCAAATTTTTGGATAAAACCTAATTTTTTTTCATCGAATTTCAATTAAACTTGATATTCTAAGAATCTAAGACCCTGAGATCCTGAGCCATGCATAAAGCCAGGTAGGGAAAGTTGGGGTTCAAACCCGATTTAAATTAGATGTAAAATTTCCAACATCTGTTTTATTGAAGGATAATTATAGTTTATTTAATAAAAGGAGGGTTTAACGATAAAAATACCATTGAATTAATATATAAAGGTGATCAATGAATAAGGTCCTAAGTAACATTGATAGATTCTCCCCGTTAACCTTCTATTTGCATCCTCGCAGCCATGTTAAGACATTCCCAGCTAATTTCTGCACACAGATCGATCAAACAAGCTACACAGCATAAAATAAATTTTAATATTACATCCAACAAATGCAGTAAAAGCAACGTAATGTCAGTTCATGGACTGTATTAATGATAATTTTGTCTTTTTTGGCAAGTAATATTACACCATATTTTCGGCACGCTTGAAGTGCATCCACTTGGATGTGATAGTAAAATTATTCTTTTACTTTGTATTATCATGCATTTTATACGACAAACACCACATGAAACAATTCTTCCAATCAATTACTGTCATTGGTCGAAAGGTACAGTAGCAGGATCTCCCCTACCCGTGTCTCCTCGAGATAGTCAAGTCGACGATGATAGGAGTACATACCATGGTAGAGGTAATAATAGCTCCAATTTCCAAACCTACGACTGGATGCCTCCCTTCAGATAACAACTTGAGTGCGGTACAATCGATAGAACTGTTTCAAACACATCATCGGTACATGAGCAAATCGGTGATTCGTACCTTCTTAAAAGTTGTCCTTGTTCGCTTTCTACTCTCTATATACAATTTTCACACTGCCGTACTCTAACTGAACTATCAACTCAATACTTTCATCTCCTCATCTATTTTATAAAAATTACCACTTTAGTCTGGTATTTGAAATTAGCATCTTCAACTCTGTTAATTGTTGACTTCACGCAGAAGTAATACAAACAAAATAGTTAAAGTCAATATTCAAGTTATTAACTAAAAATAAAGTCGATGAACGCAATCGATCAATGTTAGTACACACTACAAACAAACTTACAAAAGATTACTGATTACTGATTACCGAATCGTTCGTAAAAAAAGTAAACACGAATTGTCAAAAACAGTGGTTCGTTCAGTAATTCACTCCAGGTATGTTCGGTAATATTAACTGGAAACCTCAGTAAATGCGATAATTATTTTACCAGTATTTAACTGACAAGATAGTTAAAATGTTATTGCGAGTACCATACAAGTCAGTTATATTTTCAGTGTTTTTCGAGGGAAAAATTATCTAAATTCAATAAATATGAATTGTAGATAGAAGAAATGCATTTTCCTGTAAATTTCATAAACTTCATTCTCAATTTATAACTTTTTATTTTTAGCTTTCTATAACCATCTATGCTGTTTCGGTGAAACTTCCCCAAAGTGATGGTCTTTAATGGTTTATCTTTAGGTGTTTGGAATGGATCATCCATCTGATATAGAAGAAGATAATTTCATTACGAGCCATGACTTGAACACATTCCATGATTCCATCGATGAATTATCTTCGGATGATGGCAAAAGATCTTCTTCGTTTCGTAACTAAGCATGAACTAATTAATAGTATTTTATAATTCTAAGTACCGTATTATGTCACTGTATTGAGATACGCCGTTCCACGATGATAAAATCCATTATTTCTAATTATACCCAAGTAACAATTTAGCAGCCTTTTGTCTTTCACACTGATTTATTGTTGTTTTATAATGGCAATAAGCAATCTTTTTAGTTTAATTACAGCATTTAAGAGTGCAACACATTCTTCGTCAGTAGTCCAGCATTTTGCTGTTTTAAAAACCTTTTAAAGTCTGACGATAAAATCAAAACGGGTCTGGTTTTAAAAATGAATTTAAAGCAGCACTCTATCCATGTATAAAACTGTTCAGTTAGTCAATCATAAACCTGCTCGGTATTTTTTGTATTAATGCCATGACAAAATACTCCATTAAGGTATTTTATCATTATAAAATCAATTATAAAACCGTTCGGTTTCAAACAGGAACAAAAAGCATATATTGCTGCTTTTTGGTGTCAATAAAGTGTATCACAAAACTCCCTGTTTACAAATTAAACTAAAAATATGGATCCGCCTAGAGACAGAGAAAAAATAAATCGATTGGAGCTTTTGAACGAAGAATCACAAGGAAATGCCAAAGGATAGTCTAATAATAATACTAGCGATAGTAGGAGGAATAATTGTAGCGATACTGTCAACGGAAAGGAAAAGGACTTCAATTCCACAACTTCCTGGAAGGCCCAGCAGCTCTGACTAAACTGGTCAACAAAGACAAAGCAGCCGACTGAGAAGAGTGAGTGAATGCGGTTCACAAAGCACTGCACTGGATTGACGGCATTAGACGCTTAAAATTGATGGGATATAATATTGTAAATGGCGTTTGCGACACGATCTGAATAAACACAGACCAACCTTCTCCAGAAATCGCGTTTCGCCAAACTGGTACTGCGGAAAACTGAACTGCCGACAGGAAACTTCAGAAGCTGTCAGTCAGCTGGGAATTGACTGAAATCCAAGCAAGCGCACATTTATTTCCTCGGATCATCCGGGAGATGGGAACCTTTTTGGGAACTATTGAGCTTCCACCTGTTCCAAGTTATGTAGATTCACTTCCTGATTAACTGCTTCCAATGGATAATAATCGCCCTCATCGTGGATTCCACGCAAATTGTTGATCCAACGTAGGAGTAGAAGCTCGGTGCAATGTGCTCGGTAAAGGCGCAGCTATAAAGCAAGACCATGCTGGAGGTGGCTGGGTTCGATTCCCGGTCCGGTCTAGGAATTTTTCGGGTTGGAAAATTTCTCGACTTTCCTGGGCATAGAAGTATGATTGGACTTGCCACACAATTATACCAATGCAAAAATGGTACAGGCATCGAAAGCTCTCAATTAATAACAGTGGAAGTGCATCTAGAACACTAAGTTGAGAGCACGCAATAAGCTAATATTCGATATTGCAATAAGCTTGAAATGCGAAGAAGAAGAAGAAGATACGTTGTTTCCTAGATTAAAAATAATAAGTAAAATCAACGATTTCCGAAGGCGAACCTATTTTTTTTTCGACATTTCGAAGTACATTTCACATTAGATTTAATCGGTCACCTAAAAAATGAGAACTGCTTTTATAATATTGGTAATTCTTTCACATTAGATGAGGAAATTTAAAAAGGTTTTTGAAGAATTAATTTTTTAACAATGAATTTGGCAAGATCTGATGATAGTTATGTATTCCTTTTTATCTTGATTAATGCTTTATTTTCAGTGCGGTTAGCAAGCGTCAAAGGCAAATGGCACAATTATTGATGCCAAAGGGCTTTTATTGTAGCTTTGAAAAGTATTTCAAATGGTTTTTTAATGCTTTCGTCATATAACCTTTTTGCAGCAAATCAATCTTGAAGTGCCTCGAAAATATTCCCTTCAAAACCTTCTTCGGGGTGGGCCAACTAGACAGATTCTAGTCTTACTGAGGTTTTGGTGGATGTAATAAAGGTAAAGCCGTCTTCACCAGGGTTTTATGAATGTTATTTTATAGCAGCCTTGTAGTATTTCATAAAACGTAAAATGTTACTTGGGTAATTATCACTATTCAACAGTTCAACACAGAATTGCAATCGATTTACGAAGCAGCTAACTGCGGTGGCTGAAAAAAAAATTGATCGCTTCAATTTTACAATTCAAGGTCAGTAAAATTAGTAGCTGTTTTAATGAATCTTCAGTATAAAACCAATAACTACTGTTCGTGCAATATTTATTTTTACTGATTTTTCTTGCAATACCGAAAATTTAGAAAAAAAAACGACTTTCTCTGTAAATATTTATTATGCGTACAGTATTTTGCATTGAACGTTACCGAAACTATGTTTCCTGAATAAGACTTAAGTTAAATTTAGAAATCCAACTATGCTTTGACTCGAACACTAGGCTATTCACGTGAAAAAAAAATATGATTTTTCTATGATTTCATAACAAACATAAAAAATAAACATAAATTAAGGTATCAACTAGTCACAAACCAAATTTCAGCTGCCGCCGTTTTTTATTAATTTTATTGAGAATAACATACGCCCTTTCAAATGCAGTAAAAAAACTTTTTTCTTTGTTTGCCCCAACCAGAGATATTAACATTTGAAAAGGGCATATTTTTAGTAGAAAAACGTTAATAACTCTTGATCGGCGAAAGATATTGACAAGCCTCGTGGAACAAAAATTTATGCCTTTTAAAAATCTAAAAGTTATTTCAAGACACCTTTGCTGAGAAGTTTGAAATAAGAAAACTAGAGCAAAAAAACTGTTTTTTAGAGGCACCCTAACTCAATTCAAGAAAATAGCTCTAAATCGGTCAATTTAGTTTATTTTCTACGAAGTCACTTTGAATTAGCTCAGTTATAACTTTGCCGAAACATGTGTACCTCAATTTCTTCAAACAAAAAAGTAGAAGGGTCTGTGCCAGGGGCACGAACGGAATCTTGACGTAGGACCGCTAGTGGACGGAACAAATGTGAACATTTAGTTCTTTTAATTGATTAATTATCTTAACTCTTTCCCTTTTTTATTTGTAAGCGTATCAAATTTGTAGTATTTATTTCAAAGAGAAACCCTAATAAAAAATACCATAAGCGAACGATAACCCAAATGATGAAACTATTGCACA